CCGGATATAAAGGTTATATTTTTATATATTGAAACTAATTGTTGTTTATAAAGTAATTTGTTAGATTTCATTGAACACAAAATAGATTTTATTTTAAAATTAATATAAAATATATAATAGAGTTTGTTTTAATTTCAAATATTATTTTAATTTAATTTAATTATATTTTAAATATAATGAGTCTTCCAACATTTGTTAAGCATCCGTATTCTTATATATATATTTTTTACAATTTCTAAGTATTTTATGGCTTCTAGAAATGAATGTCGGCTTAGGCTTCAAAAATGTTTTTTCTCGTTTTTTTTTTCAGCACACCATATTTATTTTTTTTTATTAATAGGCCACACAAGACGAAATTTATATTTAAAAAATTAATAGTTGTCAGTGTCTTCAAATGAAAACAATTAGTAAGCAGCGCCTTTGTTTTGCGCGTTCATTACAAAGTTATTCACATTAACCCCCAATCGATATAGAATTTTCCTTTTAAAATAAACCTTTTTGCGCTATGTGTCGGTATTTATATTAATATGAACATAATATTTTTCATTTATTTTCATATCATCGAAATTTATATTTTACCAACAACTTTTCATTCGTTAACGAACATTCGTCCCATTTTAAGAAATTTGAATAACTTTAAATCTATCATCATAATTTCTTTTGTATTTTATTTATTTGGTTAACCCTGGCTCCACTGAGTGTTCGATATTTTATATTAAGAGTTATTAAATGCTCAATAATAAATATTATATAATATTTTTAATTTTTATATTAATAAACCAGGCGCGATATTGAAATATTATCATTTTATATCATCGGTATATGACTGCCATCTTATCCATACGTCGGCAACATCACATTTGCAACAATATTACAGAAAGTCGACAGGATTACTGAGGACAACGGCATGCAGAGGATGACAGCGGCACCTGTGGTTAACGGCGCATTCGTGTGAAAGCTCCTTCTACTAGCCCTACACCTTGCGTTCGAGTGGACCATCTCAAAGACGCCATGCGAGGACTAGTCGTACCTCGCAACGAGGAGGTCATCATCACCCCCATCGACATCTCCTGCGCTACGAGCACCTTCTTCCATCGGCTCGAACAAGCAGACAAAATTAATCGAGAAATCCTCGCTACGCCCCGCCAACCAGCACTGACGATGTCCCATGTCAACCACCGCAAAAAGTGATCACCAGGCCTCATCGCAAGCCACTCCACAAGACCCATCCAAGACATCATCCATCTGGTAGGAGAATTTTCTCTACAGAACTTTCTTAATGTAACACTATTTCCGCACTGAATTAACTACTCGTTCAGCAATACCATTTTTATAGCAATAACATTATTATTTTAAATCCATCAAGTTCATTATTTTACCTGCCCTATTACTATTTCAATTATTATAACTTTAGATGTGTATAAAACATTTTAACCTTAATCAATTTTATTATTCTTTATTATTATTTTGTGTACCATTAGGAATGCCTTCAGCCAACCACAACTAATTATACCTTTTTTTTCTTCAATTGTTTTTTTTTTTCATTATCTCTAGGCTTATTACACACATATTATAACTTTAACCATCTTTCTAATCATTTTAAAACTTTTAATATATTGACAACGTCAATAATATTTTTTAATAGTTTAAGATATTTTTGAATATATATATTTTATCTATTTCGTTTTTCTAATTTTATCGTTCACGTCTCCTAACCACCCCTGCCCATACCTTCTCGTGCATTTCCCCAAGGGCTTCCTGTTCGCCAATATTTTTTTCATTGATTAATCCAACTGAGAAATCCTTCCTCGCTATATCATTCCCAATAGTGAGTTCAGGATACCCAGCTAGATTATTTTTCTTATCACCCGGCTCATCATTATCAATCATCATTTTATTTTTAATTACTATTCAAGTCAGGTGAAATCATCATTGGCAACAGAACAACCCTTGCAGCTACCTTCCCCATCTTCATTCCCCAATCTCATGTATTCCCCTAAAGAGAATTTTGCTCGCCAGAATTATTTTTTAAATTTTATTATTCCAACTGGAAACATCCTTTTTAGCTATATCGTTCCCAATATTGAGCTCAGGATACCCAGCCAGATTAGTTTTTTTTACCCGGTTCATTATTTTTATATATATTTTTCATCATACAAGCTGGGTACCATCATTATTGGCAGCAATACATCTCTTGCGTTTACCTTTCCCTTTCCACATTCTTCAACCTACCTACCTCTCCCTGCTAGTCTGAACTGATAATGCAGACGGAAAATATTTAACGTTCTGTTAATGAAAACAGTAATTCACTAACACAAGTTCGCACTGCAATGCAGAACTCATTAAGCTATTTCTTTGCAGGAACATACCTTCACCAACCCTCTGCGTCAACTCATAATCTTAGTTCAACTTAGAAACTTCATGCTTTTCTTTTATTTATTTTTTCATTCAATAGGTTCTCAAGTTTATTTTTATCTATAAGTAAATTACCTTTACGGCATTTCTAATTTTTTCGTGCATATTTTCTCAATTTTATCATTTATTTTTATGTATTTTCTTTTATCATATTCCATATCTTATTGAGACGTCATCATTATTGCCCTATTTTATTCTCCGTTATTTATAATGATTAATTTGTGTCAAAATTATTTCTTTTGATTTTATAATAGGTTTGTTAGGTCATCATTCATGTTATTTTATTTCCCCCCAAAAAAACCTTCATCACCGGGGGCGCATTCTATAGTATATTTTAAACTGTATAATAATGACACTTTTAGTATATGTCACATATCTTCCAATTAGTTAGAGCCGATACCTTAAAAGATCCTACCCTTCTATTGAAATGTACACTATTTCTAATTACTACCACCCCATATTTTGTATATAAACTATTTGTATTTAAAACTAAAAATGGTGACGTCAAAATAAAGATCCAAAGAGTGTCGATCAGCTGGTGGCAGGGACAGAGGGGAGGGAAAAGGCAACGCCCAGCCCATGTGGGGACCCGAGGGACATTTTTATAGACGACCCCTGTAAACAGGACAGATTTTGGCAGGGGGTCAGCAGTAGATGTTCTAGGGTGTGTTTCTCGGCAGTCCGCTTCAGTCGGTCTCTCTCTCCATGTCTCGGTGATAAGCATCCAAGTTTGTGTCATGGCCTCTATCTCTGTCCCGTGGGGTGTCCCCGATCCCTCTCTGTGCTAATATCTAGCCCTGCCTCTGCTTCTTGTTGTCCGCGTGTGGTAAGAACATCAACACTCGCCTCACGTACACGACTGCCAGTTCATCCATACGTCGGCAGGATCACATTCGAAACAATATTACATATATATATATTCAGAAAAAGGCATCTCCTTATCGTGCAACTGTAAGTTGCTGATGGCTTGCGTCATTTAACGGAATAAATATCAACTATTTTCGATGATTTTTAATTATTCCAGAATTGGCCAAATACCCATTCTTGATTAATCAAGAAAAGCTAACCACGGACGCGTTTCGGGCTGTTGGCCCTCATCAGCGTGGTGCAAGCTGTACCTCAACGACCAAAAAATTGGTCATTAAGGCATCCTGAAAAATCATGAAACGGGTAGTTAAGGCCAGAATTGCGTGAGACCGCAACACAATGTGAAAAAATAGTAAAATGTGATATTGTATTGGGATAAGGTGCCTAAATTTAGAAAAAGGCATCTCCTTATCGTGCAACTGAAAGTTGCTGATGGCTTTCGCCATCTATCGGAATAAATATCAACTATTATCGTGTGTGTGTGACCCGGTCATTGCCCCGGGTTTACCCGAAGGGCCCGCTGAGACATTGAGTTTGGCTTAAAAATTGCAATGGGTATAATCTGATTTTCTAGAGGCAGCAAATCAAGTATACGGGTGAGCAAAAATACTTTCTGAGTGAAGTATATATATATTCGGGCAAATATTATATATTTTATATCAAAATGAGATCAACAACAAACCTTAAAATAAACAACATATTAGACAGCACAGTTCAAAAATGTAGAAAATTAATGTATAGAGTAATGATGAAATAAGTAAAAAAAATCAAAATAATTTTGAGGTGAGAAACTATTTTTAAAAAGTTTAAATAAATATATTTGAGGTGAAAAAAAAAAGAGAAAAAAATTAACAAATCAGAAAATAAAATTGCAAACAACTATTTTGCAGATAAGACAGCATATAATGAAATGAATTCATTTGAAGGACCTCATTAAAAACTATATTTATAGTTTTATATATACAATATAACCTCATTAATTCAACACACGAAATTTCAACCATGTTTTGATGTCCCGACATACGACCTTTTTATTATTATTATTTTTTAATTATCCCTAGTACACGTGGTACAGGCCATGATAATTATGGTGGGTAGTTAGCGACCTCTTCTACTGTAAGCGCACCACATGTCTACACATGTGAAAAGCAGTTCGACTTTGCACTTACAAATGTGCCAGAGCCCCGTTTGGTTACTTGCACTCGCTGGTGCGGTTGGACTTTTGCAAGAATCGGGGGTCATTGGAGCATTTTTTTTTTAAATCAGAAAAAAAAGTGTCCAAAGCGGGTGTAGCGGCTACTAAATATTAACTTTTCATATTTTCATTATAAGTTTTAATTTGTTTAATAAATATTTAAATCAAATATTAAATTAAAATATTCATCTTATAAATATATAATGCTCATAGAATATACTTTATTAAAATGATATAAATTTACATAATATAAATTTATATAATATAATAATTATACATAATTATAAATATAAATCATAAATCATGTAAAATGTAAATATTTATATATAATATATCAAACACATATATTTTAAAATTGTATAATATTAAAATGTTATTTGACCATGACAGATATAAACAAAGGAACGTCAACATGTATACAACAATTTAACCCCTTCTGATAATTTGTATTAGATAAATGTAATTAAAAGTTAATTTTACAAAATATAATTTGTTGTTGGACTCCGTTTGGAATTACAAACCAACCAGAAACACGGGAATCGAACCCGGGTCGTTGTGGTCGAAAACCAAACGGTTTAACCAGCCTTCCACCGACCCCCACTTACGACCTACTATATAACAAAGTGTAATTCGACACTATCGATAATTCGACTATTTTAAAATTCAAATTTCAACAGTTTGTTTTTGTTTAAAAACTCTATAATTAACAACATATTAGACTGCACAGTGTAAAAATGTAGAAAATTGTACTTATCCTTCCTTATATATATATAAATGAAATGCGAAATCGATGTTTGTTATCGCATCACGCAAAATCTACTGACTCAATCATTATGGAATTTCGCATGTAGGTAGCTGAAGATTTCGTTTAACATATAGGCTATTCAAAAAACTAAAAAAAGTTAATGTGCTTTTTTTAAAAAATAAAAAAACAAAAAACGTTAGTTCCAGTCTTTTAACGCTAGGGCGCAGCACTGGTCGCGACGATAAATGAATTTGATTTTTTTAAAGCATCGGTGGTTCAGTGGTAGAATGCTCGCCTGCCACGCGGGCGGCCAGGGTTCGATTCCCGGCCGATGCATTTTTTTTTTACAATTTTTAAAACTCATTTATATTATATCTATATTAATAAAATGCAATCTTCTATATAAATGGAAATTTCATAAGTGGTGTTCGCTAAAAACTTTCGTTACAATGCATCAATTTCGACCAAATTTTCAACATTTATGTAAAACGAGATGGAGCAGGTTTTGCTTAACATCAAAATATTTTTCCTAACTTTAAAATACATAACTTTGCTGTTATCGATAAAATACAAAAAAAAATCAACAGAGTTAATTTTATTTATATATAAATACAAAAAAAATTCAGCAATTCATTCCACTCGATCTAAAAAAATATTCAAAACAAGCAATTTTAAGATAACACCATATGTAAAACAGTCGGCCAAGAAAACAACAACGATATTACATCTTTCTCACATATTCACACACAATCTTGATTAATAATTAAAACTAATCTTTAACATTGTTTATTATACTTCATAATATATAATATTCGTTAGGCAAACTTTCACTCGGATAAAACCCGGGCGAAGCCGGGTACACATCCGCTAGTATAATTATATGCATATAATTTTATGTATAAGAAAAACAATAGAAAAAAAATAAATATTAAAGGTCTTGATATTAGAAAAATGAAGGCATAGTTAAAAAAAAAGTTAAATAAACGTTTAGTTTATTTTTGCTTCACTAGATGGCGCTCTGCCATCTAAAAAGCACATGTGCTTTTGGTCAGGATATGCCTTCATTATTTTAAATTGTATGTATAGGGCAATGAGTGAAATAAGTAAATAAAGGAAAAACTAATAATAAAAATAATTGAAAATGAATAGTTTATTAGCTAAAAATATAATACCAAAATATTCCTTCCAGGTGAGAAACTATAGGCATTGGTGAAAAGTTTAAATGAATATATTTGAAATGAAAAAAAAAATTGCAAACAACACAACTATATTGCAGATATGACAACATATTAAGGGAATAAATTCGTTTAAAAGACCTCATTAAAAACTACATTTCTAATTAAATATATATATAAAGCCAACAGCGCGAAACGCGTTCGTGGATGGCTTTTCTTGATTTATCAATAAATTCGGTTGGTCAAATATCACAGAGCAAGATAAATAAACGTTTAGTTTATTTTTGCTCCACTAGATGGCGCTCTGCCATCTAAAAAGCATATGTGCTCGTGGTCAGGGGATGCCTTCTTTATTTTTAGCATCAACACCTGACCCGTTTATCTTTTATTTTTTCTATTGTGTTTTCATATATACAGGATGATCCAAAAGTCGGGCACTATTTTAAAAATTAATAACTCCGCGAATATTTGCGCAAGAGCAATGCGGTAAACACCATTGTGTTCAGGATGCAATGGGATTTTTTATGGCAAATAATGAAAAATTCGAAATTGATTTTAGTTACAATTTTATTCGCCAGATGGCGCACTACCAGAATCGAATATTCAGCGGCCAAATTGCTTGATAAATTGAAAAATATAACTGATCGACACGTATTTTTCCTTTTTGAATACCAGGAAAGAACCCTAATAACATCAAATAACAAATCAATAAAACACCACTTCGCCAAAAGTATGAAGAAATGGTTAACAATTTTTAAATACAATCAGAGATATGTAAAATAGGTAAATGCAAATTAAAACATGTAGCAAAAAAAAAAATGATATTTTAGATACGGTTTGTGTTTCCGAAGATAATAAATTTCTAATATTTTTAATTCAACTCTCTCTCAGTATCGATTATATTTATTTCAATTCATTTGAAAAATATGTATCTATCTCTGTTAATTTATTTTACTCGGGAATGCCGTTGTTGTTGTCGTGTCCAATAAAGAGCCTCAGATGTATCCATGCATCTCCATCACAGCAGCAGCAATGTCCTCTATCTTGGGTATGTAAAGCTACTGCTCTGGGTCTATGTCAAATTTCTGCAAGGCTGCGGCCATTGCTGGCTATTAGAATATGTGGGTAGGTGTAAGTTCCACACCAGGACAATTGTTGCATGCCCTATAGGTTATTGTGCCATCTTGATGTATTGTCATTCCTTTATAGTGTTTTGTTCTAAGTCTTGTTATAGTTTTTGTCATTTTTCTCTCAGAGTTTATTTCGCATTTTGATCTTTTATTATTTATTGTTTAATTATCTTGTATTTTTCCAAAGAATCTGCGTCAAATAATGACATTTGTTCTTTCCTTTACTCAACTTTCTGGCTTCCTTTGCCAATTCAAATGCCATTTCATTACCCCCGATCCCAGCATGGGCAGGGATCTATTGTAGAATGCAGTTATTCTCCAATGGTTCCAGTTGGGTAAGTAACGAGTGTATTTTCTGTGTGATTTTAGTATTGCCCTTCTGAATTGCTTCTAGAGCGGATATGGAGTCGCTGTATATTAAATTTCCTTCTACTTGATGCAGGGATGGTTGGTTAAGACATACATCAAGGGCCTTCCAGATAGCTGTCAGTTCACAAGTGAGGTTTGACGAAATCTGTCCTGCGCCTTCTTTGATTTTGATGTGCGTTCCATCTTGCAGTATTATGTTAATTCCGGCCCCTCCATAACTCAGGGTAAGGTCTGAAGATCCATCTGTATATGCTGTTAAAGGGGGTGGCCTAGCATTTTTAATCAAGAATTTGTACTATGAGGACATAGCCGTTAATATTTCAAACACATAAGACCTCGAAGCCCAAGGTATCAAAGTCTACATCAATCAAAGCAAAGCCATCAACATATACAATATGTATCACCCTCCAAACAATACACTTTTTGACGATGTAACAATGGCTCAATTTCTTACAGACAACTCTTATTGTAGGTGACCTTAATGCCAAACATCAACTATGGGGATGTTCCACGCCAAACCCAAGAGGCAAAATACTTTCAAACATATTTGACGACAATGCCATCATGTGCTTAAATGATGGGAATCCTACCCATCATTCCTACAGCTATAATACTGCACAAGCCCTTAATATAAGTTTTTACTATCCTGACATTTTCCACAAATGCAAATAGCAAATATTAAAAAGTATTGGAAGTGATCATTTGCCTAATTTGATAGAAATTAGCACCAAGACCAAAAACAGCTCAATTAAGAAAAATTCTGTAACTTCAAAAGGCTAATTGGATATCTTTCAAAAACACCATTATTAAAGCAGCCACAGTTTCAATACCAAGAGGTAATATTAAGAAATGGATTCCAAATTATACACACCAGGTAAAAAATATTCAAACACTTATAACTAAAAGAAATGAACTACAAAAAAGAGCACCCAAAACCAAACAAATTGTAGAACTGAACCGAACATTGTGAATGCAAAAATAAAAAGATTATACGTAAATGTGAAAAAGGAAAAATGGAAACAACTTGTGAAACCTGAACCCAAGAAACCTAAATACAAAACTTTGGCATTTGGCAAAACAAATTGACAGATCCCAGTCACAAACCGAAAAACTAATATGATTAAGAATACAGATGGTACACCAGCAACTAATGACAAAATTGCTGCCAAACCTTTAGGTAATTCATATCAAATAAGTAGTAAAATCAAGGTTGAAACAAAGGCCCGAAGGATTATTCATGACTGTAAAAATGTCACCAGCAGTCATAATATTTTCCATGAAAAAAATCAATATGAAAGAGCTAGCTTATGCATTAGAAAACACTGACCTAAACAAGACTCCTGGGCCAGATGGAATCCATGGCCGAATGATATCAAACTTAGGCAAAATTGGCAAAGAAAGACTTCTTAATATTTTCAATAACTCCTGGAAAACTGGAAAATTGTCTCAAGACTGTAAAAATTCAACAATAATTCCTATTTAAAAACTTGACAAATCTGCTGATGACCCAAAAAACTACCGACCTATCTCCCTCACAAGTATTTGTTGAAAATTAATGGAAAAGATTATACTCAGACGATTCACCTACCACCCCGACACAAGAAATCTCTTACCAGAAGAACAATATGGATTTAGGAAAGGACATGGGACAATAGACCAACTCTTATTTTTCACACAAAAGGTAAAAGATGCACAAAACAGAAAACCAACTAAAAACACAATAGCTGCTTTTTTAGACCTTACACAAGCTTTTGATAAGGTATGGAAAAACAAGTTATTTACTAAATTATACAAACATTTCAAAATTGACGGAAAAGCTATCACTTGGGGGGGAATAAATGATTCCCTTAAAATAGATACATCAGGGTCAAATATAATGGCACTCTATCTAAAACCTTCAAATTGTATCAAGGATTACCACAAGGATCAGTCCTTTGCCCAAATCTCTTCACCCTTTTTATTGCAGGCATAGAAGAAAAAATTTCACATAAAACCAATATTGGACTTTTCGCTGATGACATTATTCTATGGAGCAGCAATACTAACTGGAAAAAAGTTGAAAGAGATTTGAACAAGACTCTTTTCCACCTAGAAAAATTTGCTAATAAACATAAATCGAGAAAATATCTTGTTGATGGAAGTTTCTTGCTTTTTTAACTAACTGGTTTATATTATTTTTAGA